GTCGGCAAACTTTTGAGATGGAACGTACCCGAAGAGCCGCATGTGGCTCGCGAGCCACAGTTTGCCGACCCTTGGTCTAGGCAAAGGGGTCTCTAAAATAGCTTTTATGTCTAGTTAGGAAATTCTGAGCTAATTTGCCGTATTTTTATTCATGTGGCAAATGAAAGCCAGAGTTAAAAAATGACGAGATGAGATATGAGAAGCAACCATCATCTCTCCCCTGAAATACTTGGAAGCATTTCTCTTACCTGTAACCCACTCCTTAATAGTTAATAGTTTCAGCAGTGCTCAGTGGACCGCGTGATTGCAGGTTCAGCTGGCGCTGGAGAGCTCAGTCCTTTTCCTCTTCTGTCGCTCACTCACTGGGCAACCCTAATGCATTTAGCCATTAGGTAAATATCTCTGAGCCTTGGTTTCTGTGATGTGAAATGTAGATAATTATACTTATATTCGCCTGCCTCATGGGACTTCTCCTTAATATTTATAGCTGCAAAATACTTTGCAGTCATTTTTATTAATAGTTACCAGATGTGTCGTAAGGATTAATGAGCGTATGATCTGAAATGTTTTGAGCTCCTGAAATAGGAGGCGACGGCCTGCACAGGGGATATGTAAAAGAGCATTAAAATGCAAACAATACACATTTGGAAATTTGAGCTGGTCCGTGTGAAGGACAGATGGCACACTTAAGATTTCAGTATACTTTGTAGTATTTTGGGTACTCTTAATAAGGTTGCTGAATTCATCACAGGCCACTGCCAAATATAGAAAGCTAAGTACCCCCTACCCCTGCCCATACGTATGTGCATGCGTGTACACACACACACACACACACACACACACACACACACACAATGCTGTTTCTGCTAATACCACCCTTACCCTTCTCCCTGTCGCCCTTACTTCCTGGGCATCATATTTGACTCTGTTTCCTCTGCCTCCACAGCCAATTGGTTCCAAGTATTAAGAAGTCTCCTTCAGATATCTAAATTTTAATTTCTATTTCCTTTTCCTTTTACCATCCAAACTTAGGTTCTTATTAGCTCTCCACCGAACCATTAAAGCAACTCCTTAATTGATTTCTCCATGTTTAGTATCTTCCCTGTATTTAAGGATTAATCTTCTGTAAGCATACTTCTTATGACTGCTTCATCCAGTAACCTTCGATAGTTCTTTATTGCCTGTGAAAACCAACTATAAGCTCACAAGGCCCCCTCCACACGGCCCTAACCTCCTTCCCTCTGCCCCCTTCTGTCTAGATCCTTCTCTCTTCCCCCCAGAAAGATCCTGGAAGATGGAGTCACTTTTCCCGGGGCAGAGATGTGAGTAGAGGGAACACAGTGGCTCTTTTGCTATCCTGACTTTGTCACACCACTGTTCATGTTTGAAGTGTCCCCCTGTCCTGGGAAATGACACTCGGTCTCCGAGGCCCATCTCAGAGTAAAATTGCCCTCAGGAGGGTACTCTAGGCCTGTTCCATTTGGGATCCCTTTCTCCTCCACGTCTTCTCTGCTGCTGAGATGTCCATAGCGTCTGGCCTCTTCCTCCACACGGTAGTTACTTCCATGCGTGTCCTTCCCACAGACCAGATTGCCAGTCTGTTGAGAGCAGAGCCAGGGTCTCACTGACCTTTGTGTTTCTCACGGCGCCTCTTCCTTGTGCACTGAGACCTAGTGAGTCTGTGCGGAACTGAATGTATACACTGAATCACAGCCAAGTTGCCTTCATGTAGGGCAGTGCTACGGAAAAATTGAAAATACACAAAGTGGAGAGGATCCTAGGGTGAATCCCTGTGCACTCGTTCCCCAGCCACCATGAAAATGAACACGTGGCTGAGCTTGTATGCCTGTACCCCTACTATTTTTAGCATGTACCTTTTTTTTTCATCAAAAATTTTTTTCAATTACAGTTGACATTCAATATTATATTAGTTGCAGGAGTACAATATAGTAATTAGACACTTATATACCTTACAGAGTGATCTCTTCAATGAGTCTGGTACCCACCTGACACCATACATAGTTATTATGATATTATTACTATCTTTCCTGTGCTATACCTTCCACCCCCGTGACTATTTTGTAACTGCCGGTTTGTAGCATGCACCTTTCAGACATGCTCTGTTGCAGAAGTGTCTTCCTGTGATCCCTGCTCGTCCAGAGCTGGTATCTGGCCGCCACCACTGCCTGGCACCATGGAGGGAGACACCATGACATTATTACATCAGTGCGTGACCAGGAGAGCAGGTGTGGTCAACGTATTGACTGCACTCAGGACCTGCTCAGACCTGATCTCACCTATATTTGACACCAGTTTTAGCCATTTCAGATGTGTTTAATCATCTAGTTTTCTGGCTCACCCTTCATTTAAATGGTGGGGGTTGGGTGGCATCTTTATGGAACATATTGCCTGATTAAGATGTGGTTGTTGAGGGTGAGTGACAGTGACAGGAAACCTGTGAGAGGTAGACAGGAGGTTTTCAGCTTAGTAGCTAGGAGCCATGAAGTCAGAGCCCCCGGGCCTCGGGCACCAGGAAGCCTTGGGGTCCCCTGGATTCCAGCTTGGTGTCACAGCCCAATAGGGTCCTTTCATTCATCTTAGCTAATATTTTTAAAGCATTTACTGGAATTTTCTAATTACTCTGAGTCATAAAGAAAAGTGTAAATTATGTTTCTGTGCTTTATTGAGGAGTGCAAGCATTATATCATCTTAGAAAAGGTTTCATCCTGGGTGGTTCTAGTTCCATCGTTGGTGAGACTTTTGTTTTTATACTTTAAGGGGAATGTTTATCCCTTGTATATTTTATTTATTTATTATTATTATTTTTTAAAGATTTTATTGGGGAATTGGGGGAGGGGAACAGCGCTGGGGAATTGGGGGAAAGGGAACAGACAAGTTGCTGTCGTTTTGTTCTTCAGTCTAGTTGTGGAGGACGTTGCTTCACTGGCCCAAGTTGGCACCATCATTGCGCTCCTCCCGGGTGAGGCAGATCAGTCTCCGGCTTCTGGATGGCCGCTCACTGCGGCTGCTGGCCGCTCATGCTGGCTGCTGGCTACATACGGTAGCCCATGGCAACCCACTGCAGCAGGGGCTGCTGCCTACGCCGTCGCCGGCGACTCCCAGCAGCCCAGCTCTAGCTTGAGCTGTTGTTCAGCATCTTAGCTGTAGAGGGCAGTGTCACTGGCCCTCATATGTGGGATCCGAACCGGGGCCCTCTGACGTCCCAAGCCAGTTCTTAACCATCGTGCCACTCGGCCAACCCTATCCCTTGTATATTTTAAATAAGATCTAACTGAAAGCGTAAGTTAAGTTTGAACTTACGAAAAATTTTTCCTGCCTTTATTAAGAAATAATGATCTGAACATCTATTCATTTGTTTGGGGTGGGGCGCTTCAGATAATATGAGAAAAAATGGACATATAGTCAGCGGCCCTTGCGTTCCAGGGCTGTGTGGTGGGGGGGCATGGGGTGCTTGCTTGACACTAACTCCTTTATCAAGGAGCTGACAGAAGAGTACGAAAATGGAGAACTCCTATAAGGAGAGCCCAGGAGGTGCCGTGAGAGACGTAGGAGTCATGTGTCGTGGGAGTGGACGGGGAAGCTGCAGGCCCTCCTGTGCAGTGGCCTTGCTGCCACCAGGGTACCCTCCCTCAGCCTGTTCTGCTGGCCACTCACATTGTCTCTGATTCTGCTCTTCGGCCTTAACACCCCCCAGGAACTCCCCAGTGTTTGCAGGGCCAAGTGTACGAGGTGTGATGAAAAAAATACGGTGAATGTTTAAATTAAAAAATTATTACAGTAAAAGACACATTGCCATTCACACCCCTCAGAATACTCCCCCTCACTTCAACACGCGTATCCCATCGTTCTTGCCACTTTCTGAAGCAGTTCTGGAAGTCCTCTTTCGTGAGTGTCTTTACTTCATCCTCCATCAATGACAATGCTCCGTGTCACACATCACTCCTGATACAGCAATTCCTGTCAAATAAGAACATCACGGTGTGCCCTCATCCACCTTATTCACCGGATCTGGCATTGTGCGACTTCTGGCTCTTCCCCAAAGTCAAAATGACCATGAAAGGCAAATGTTTTGAATCGATTCAGGACATCGAGGCAGCCACGACAGCGCAACTAAAGACACTCCCTTAGTCTTTAAATATTTCTCCAATCAGCTTGCCTTGCACCCCCAGATCATACCAGTCTTATCGATGTCCTGCTTTCTCTGCCCAGGCAGCTGTGATGCTCCCAACCACGTCACCTGATTTGGTTAGTTTCAGATGCCAAAGCCTTTTTCCAGGCATCTGTCCAGCTCTCAAGCCCCAGAATTGTGCTCCAGCCAGACTGGCTCCCCTGCTCCCCACTTACTGTGACTACTCTCACCATGCCTCCTGTTGCACCACGAGGTTTCTCTGGCCATCAAGGCTTGGTTCCTACCTCCTGCCCGAAGCCTTTCCCGATCGTTCCCGTCCCAGTAACTGCTCTCCATAAAGTCCTGTAACGCTCGTCTGCACAGACACAGCCCTGTGCCGAACGTATGTCGTACACGAATGGAGAGAGGGCCTGCCAGTGTGGGAGCCTACCACATAAACGACTGCCTTTAGCATGTGTCTGGTGTGCTAACTGGGGGGGGGAAGCCGCTTGCTGTGCTCTTTACAACTCTCATTTCCTTGTACAGCGTGACGCGCCTAGCACTTGGCATGCCTAGTGGGCAGTGACTTGTTAGAGTTCCCGAACGTTGACGGGCTCTCCAGTCTGTTCAGGTAAAGCCTCCCCTGGCTACCTCTGTTCTGTTCCTCCGGGCGCCTTATGCCCCTGTTCGCTTGTCTCCTCAGCCGGTGCCCCGCATCATGGTGCAGCCTGCTGTTTCGGATTTCGGGATGACCAGGATGGCGGAGGTGAGTGAGCCGGCCGGGGCGGCCCTTTGCCGATAGCTGCCCCACATATGGTGGGTGGCCCCAGTGTTATAATTGTCGAGTCCACACCCGTGGTTTTTTATTTTAGGGTTCCCGTTTTGATAATTAACTGTAATATAGGCCACCGTCTTCTCCCTCTGTATTTTCCTTGTTACACTTTGCTATTTTCAACTTGTTAATCATATGATTGCTAAACTTTTGTGTGCTCGACTGCTAATGTCGTCTGCTGCTTTAATAGCCCACTGCTAGGCAAAGGCGGTTTCTATAAACAGAACAATCTCCTTATTCTAAGTGTTTGCTTAATTCTCAGTTTTAGATTTCGTTCCGATTCATGATATCAGCGTGAAAAGACTAATGCTAAGCTAGGGAGGAAAATGGTCTCTTATGATCTCCCACAGATGAACAGCACTTCTAATCTTATGAGTAGCAAATCTATTTTCTCCCACTGTGTGCTCATTCTCTTAGGCAATGCGATATCTTCATAGGAAAATTTTATTTATTAAAACAACAGCAAAAAGGGCCAAATAATTTGAAAGAAAACTCGGACCTCCGTGAATGCCCTCCTTTCTAAAGGCCCTTTCAACCCAGTACACCCTTGGTGTTCACGGATTTAACTGAAGATAATACCATGGTCCCTCTCTCTCGCCCATGAGTAGTGTTTATTATTTTGCTGAGGCAGGACTGGGGCCCCAAGGCCAATGGGACAGAGTAGGACCAAGTCCCTTACTGCTGAATGAACCTGACCTGCCATGGCCTCTGCAGCTCAGGGCAGCTCATCGAGGGGGTTTTCTTCAGCTTAGGCTTTCACTGCAGGCTCTAGAAATGTTAATGGCAAGGATATAACCCAACGGTGGCAGATAGGTCTCCACTGACATACCCACTCCCGTCAAGTGGGAGCGGCTGCCTGCAGTGCTTAACGGAAGGAGCCTGAGGCTGCGTGCCTCGGCTCAGCAGGAAAGAACGCTACAATCAGTGTTCCCTTGGCTGCTTTTGGCCGCTTCTTTGTAGTGGCTGTGGATCTGACCTCTGATCCCTCGCTTCTCACTTCCCGGTGGCTTTGGATAAATGCTTTAACCTCTCTCGGTCATGCTGTAAAATGAATATGAATATGGAATCCTATATCAAAGGATTCACGTGGAAGCAAACAGGTAATACCAGGGAAATTTAAGGCACTGACGTCACTACACTGTCCCCTCCTCAAGGCAGGACCCAGCTGACAGCTGTGGATCTGGTGGTGATGGGGTCTCACCCAAGAGGGGACAGGGAATGCATACTATTCCAGGACCACAGTTATTGTTTGGATTCTAGGCTCTTGTAATTTATTCCTGTGTTCTTCCCTACCTGGTCAGTGATATTAAAAATAAAAGAGGAAAGAATAAATAAAACATGTATAAGTTGCAAAAGAAAAATGATTGAAGGATTGCCTAATCTTTTAGAGTATTTATGCTGGTGACAGTTATTGATCTATTGGATTTAGTAAATTTTGCAGCCTAGAGATCCATCACAAAAATGGGCTGTTAATCTCAGGAGGTGCCGTTAATTTCGTACCCTGCAAGTGTGCCTTGTAGAAAAAGGAGGGCCTCTGGAGACAGGAATATAAATGACAATTCACGTGAAAATGCATGATTTATCAAACTGCTGAGTTAAGCCAAGTGACTGTAAGAGACTTATAGATCTCAGCTGTTTCCCAGTTCAAATAAATCCTGTATTTCAAATGGAAAATGGCCATTCCTGTAATATAAATAATCTTTCCGTAAATATTGGAAAACATATTTCTTTTTCTGAACAGCACCCTCTCCACCTCCCCAGCCCCATTCTCCGTTCCTGCCTTCTTTCCCCCTTGTCAGTGTGAATTGGGAATAGAAAGATAATCTGCCACCTTCTTCATATGACTTAAGTTATCAATGCAAAAGCACCTTCCGAGCACCTTAGAAACAGTAGAATTTGGATGAGCAGTGGCTGTGTCATCCCCCAGGCGATGGGCTTTTGTGTGTGTCTCTGCCAGAGTGACTCAGACCGAGTGATGTGAGCGGGAGCGGCCAGCCGCTGCGGCTCCAGCCTCAGTCACCCCTCACTGCGGGGCTGACTGCTGCTTGGCCGGTGTCTCCTGGAATCATCGGGCCCCCTGACCTGTGACATGGGACCAGCCTTCTGCGTCAGCCCGAAGGCCCGCCTCTCAGAGAAAGTGCATGGCCTGTGGGCAGCCTCTGTCCCCTCGTCTTCCACTGCCTCCCAGCCAGTCAGCCGCAGGCCCAAGGGTCGTTTCTTCAAACCTGAGCTGGGGAAGCTGAGATGAAGCCCTTGCACATCCTCCAGTGAGATCATCATTTCACTTTTGCAGGAGAACAGTGCTCTGCTGGCTTCTAGTGACTCAGTCTCCCTGGGACGTCGGTGTTGGGCAGGGGGTCTGTCCCCACGGGAGCCAAGTTCTTAGTCTGAGTGCAGGGAGGTGGGAGGTGCTGGGGGTGGAAATGAGGGAATGGAGGGCTTAGTGTGCACCTACTGTGTGCCATGCTCTGTGGTGAGGCCTTGAATGCCTTGAACCACGCAGACCATAGGTGGCAGCCCCATATGTGCTTTGGGAAACACTACCAAGCAGTTCCCCGACACCAGCTGGGTATCTGAATTCAGCTCAGTTATGACGCTGTCTCCAGAGATAGCGTCAGGCCCCACAGGCTAAGGGCTCAGTCCCACCAGGCAGCCCTCCACTTCAGACACCAGTCTCAGGCCAGGTTGGCACCTGTACTTCCATCTAGCTATAAATCAGAGGCTCCTGTGACCCCTTCCGTGGGTTTGATTAATTTGCTAGAGCGGCTCACAGAACTCAGAGAAACGTTTTACTTACTAGATCACCAGTTTATTATAAAAGTATAGAACTCGGGAACAGTCAGATGGAATAGACACAGAGGACAAGGTATGAGGAAGGGGTACGAAGCTTCCACACTCTCTGAGTGGGAGTCTCTCTGAGCACGTCATTCACCTCGCCCCTCCGTGTGTTCACCAACCTCCAAAACTCTCCAAAACCCACCCTTTTGGGTTTTTATGGAGGCTTCATTACATAAGCATGGTGGATTAAATCATTGGCCATTTGGTGATTGATTCAACCTCTAGCCCTTTTCCCCTCCCCAGAAATCAGAATGGGACTGAAAGGTCCCCCTGCTCTAAGTATGGTTAGTTCCTCTGGCAACCAGCCCTCATCTTTAGGGGATTTCTAAGTCACATTATTAATATAAACTCAGGTGTTGTTGGAAGGGGCTTGTTATAAATATCAAGACACCTTTATCGCTCTTACCACTTAGGAAATTCCAAGGGTTTTGGAAAGAGCTCTGTGCCAGAAACGGGGATGATGACAAAATATATATTGTTATTATAAATCACAATATCACGGGCAGCTATTGAATCTCTACTTTATATAGAAGGTGAGGAGATGGAAGGGGCAAGGCATTTTCTCAGCTCTCGGCACGTGGAGAGTGGCCAGGGGCCCTCAGGATCCGGTGCGTGAAAAGCCGGGTCACCTGGAGGTAAGTGGTGAGCTGATAGTGGGGCCAGGTCTGCTCTTTTCACCATCAGAGCTGTAAGCTTTCAGCTAACACAGCAACCGTCTCGATCCTTTTGGAAATGAATACCTAACCTTGAATTCTAACCAGTTACTTGTTCCCCGCTTCCTGCTTCAGACTCACCGAGAGAGCGTGGGGGTCAGTGTGGCTCCTGACGTGGCCGTGCAGATTGCCCCGGTGGCGAAGACCTGTGACAAACCAACTCAGCTGCCTCCACCGCAGTGCGTGGCCACCAATACCCAGGTCCCCGAAGTGCAGGAGGGGCCGCCCAGCCCGCTGAGTGAGGCCTCCAGCGGGTACTTCTCGCACAGCGTCTCTACTGCCACGCTGTCTGACGCATTTGCCCCGAGCCTAGATGCCCAGGCTGGCACGCAGACTCCCGGTTCTCCCCCTCCTGTTCCCTGCCAGGCCGGCCCAGAGACTGAGCCCTCTGGCGCAGATAGCACTCTCCCTGCCCTGCTGGAGGATCAGAGCAGCCTTCCGTTACTGCCTGTCCCGGCAACGCAGACTGTGAGGAGTGACGGTGACAGTGTCATTGTGGCCCAGGCCAAGGGTACAGTTTCCTCAGAGAAGCAGAACGGAGAAGCTGGCACTTCACCCCCTGGCCTTCTCACTTCTGCCCCCCAGAATGAGTCACCCAGCACGCAGTGCGGAGACCTTTCTCCTGCCACCAAGCCGCCAGGAAGACCCAAGGACCAGGCCAAGCCAGCCACCAGCTTAGAGCCGGATGTCCCCAAACCACAGTTGCCTTCTGACCTCCTGTCTCAGTCGCCTGCGCCAGCATCTCCGTTCAGAATCCGGAAGGTGCGAACCTCGGAGCTGAAGTCGTTCACACGCATGCTCGGTGGGGACCCTGGCTCTGGTGCGGAGGAGGACCCACTGGCCTTGGGAGGTCCAGGTGACGACAGCTCTGGAGGACAGGCCCTGGAGAAGCTGGAAGTGTCCTCCGATTCTGAGGAAGCCAGTGAGGTCCCAGAGTGGCTTCGAGAGGGAGAATATGTTACCGTGGGCGCCAACAAGGTGGGCATCGTGAGATACATCGGGCCCACTGACTTTCAGGAGGGCACATGGATTGGCGTGGAGCTGGACTTACCTTCAGGTAAGTGTCACTTGTTGGGGATAGGTTCCTGGCACTGGAGGTGACTGAACATGCTAACTATCGTCTGGCAGGAAAGTGCTGGCCCCGCCTCTGGTGCTGCCCAAAATTTGCTGTGTGCCCTTGGACACGTCATTTGACTTCTCTGAGCCTCTGAGTCGCCACTTTTCAAATTCACAGATTTTCTCTAGATAAGCTTTTTCTAAGTGTTTTAAGAGGCAAGTTCTCTTTTTTTGAACCTTCAGAAATTTCTCAGAAACCTAAGACATTAATTGAAAGCAAGTATAAATTCGGTAATGAACTTTTTCTTTCTTTAGTCACAGGAGCATCTGCATTTGAACTATAACAGTAGCCACATCTGTGTTTGCTGAGTCCAGACACACCCATGCTGATGCTCAATTGTTACTAAGCCTCTTTGGCCCATGAGATTAGACAGCAAAGGTGATCTGAGATCCATTGCAGGCTTGCCAGTCTCTGAAGCCTCATTGTACAATACAAGGGCACAGCTTAAAGCAAATACATCAACTTTTTCAGAAAAACTGAGGGCAGGACTTGAGGAAATATTTTTTAACACATCTTTATTGTGGTACAATTTATATGCCATAAGCTCTACCTGGTTACAGTGTACAATTCAGTGGTTCTTAGTATATTTAGAGTTGTGTGACCATTTCCATAATCTTAATTTTAGAATAGGTTCATCACCCCTTCAAAAAGCCACATGTCCATTCGCAAGACACTTCCCCTCAAGCCCTAGATAACCATTAATTTACTTTTTGTCTCTCTAAGTTTATGTGAAAGGTCCTAATCTGAACTTTATATAAGTGGAATCCTACAGTATGTGGGCTTTTGTATCTGGCGTAGTTCACTGAGCATGTTTCCAGGGTTTATCCAGTTGGAGCATATGTTTCTCCTTTTGTGGCCGAATAATACCCCATTGTGTGGATGCCCCACATTTTGTTCATCCATTTGTCAGTTGATGGACACTTGGGTGGTTTCCACTTTTTGGCTATTGTGAATAATGCTGCTGGGACTATTTGTGTGTAAGTTTGTGTGTGGACACATGTTCTCATTTCCATTAAGTACACACCCAGGAGTTAACTATGTTTCACATTTGGAGGACTGCCATGCTGATTTCATTCTCCTTCCCACCCAGCCTCTCCACTAGGGGAGGGTTGGGAGCATTGGAGACGGGTTTTTAGGAAGCTTGTGTGTGGCCTGGCGGGTGGGGCTGTGGAGGCAGGGGGATGGACAGATAGAGCGGGAGTGCGCAGAGGGGCTCCCCTTGGTGGGAACGGGGCGCGGTGGGGGTGTGCTCTGTGACACCCAGGCCTGCCCCACACGGACTCTTTGTCTCTGGACCCCTCGGCTCAGCCGTGAAATCACTCACTGTCTTTACAAGAATGTCGTAAATTGGAAGTGGTTCTAGAAGATTAATGTAGCACAGGCTGGAATATTTTTTTCAACTCCATTTCTGCTGAAATGCAGAGGGGGATTGGGAAAGAAGTTTATGTTGGCAGTTGAACTCAAGAATTAAAGGGAGATTAGCAAATAGATGAATTCATCCAACAAATAAATAGTAAGCACCTACTATGTTCCAGTCACTGGATTCCAAGGATACCTTGGGGGGCAAAACAAAGTCCCTGGTTTCACTGGACTTTCATTTTAGAGGGGAGAAAATTACTAAGTAAAAAAACAGATGAATTTGATAGTAAGAAGTGCTATAAAGAAAATAAAATGGGCTAAGCAGATAGAGCATGGTGGGTGTGGTAATATTTTAAATAATACTGAGGGAAGCGAAGGCCTGAGTGATGGAGAGGCAGTTGGGCTGGGGCAGCACGGCAGGCTGGGGGCACCCTTCGGGCACAAGCTCCACACACGGACGAGCTCACTGCATTTGAGGGGCAGCGGCAAGGCCGGCCAGGAGGCTGGAGAGGCGAGGTGGCTGGGTCTGGAAGGGTGAAGTATGACAGGAATCCAGTGGAGGGTTTAAAAAGATACATTTTTGGGGCCGGCCGAGTGGCTCAGTTGGTTAAGAGTTGGCTTAAGAGCGCGAGCTCTGAGCAACAGGAACATCGGTTTCGATTCCTACATGGGCCAGTGACGCTGCGCCCAACCCGAGCTGTTGCTGAGCTGCCAACAGGTGGCAGATGGCTCAGCTGGTGAGAGCACGTGCTCCTAACAACAAGACTGCCTGTTCGATGGTGGGCTATGCTCACCCGCAACTAAGACTAAAGTTGGCACCTTGAGCTGAGCTGCCACCTGGATGGCTCAGGAGATAGAGCATGGGGGTCTTAACAACAAGGTTGCTGGTTCGACTCCCACATGGGATTGTGGCTATACCCACCTGCAAAGAAGATTGTAACATAGCTTCTTGAGCTTAGAGGCCACGAGCTGCATAGCTTCTTGAGCTTAGAGGCCACGAGCTGCCGATGGGAAGCCAGATAGTGACTGGCACCCTCCTCAACTAAGATTGAGGAACAACAACTTGGCTGTTCCCTCCCTGAATTCCCCAAAAAAATCTTAAAAAAGAAAGATACTTTTTTTTTTTAGGAGACTAGCCTTGGGATGAAGAGTGGGGAGGCCACGTAGGAGGCTGCCGCAGATGTCCAGGCCGGGATGAGTGGGGGCATGGAGGTGGTAAGTGGTAGAGTCAGGAAAAGTATGGCGGTGAAGCCCCAGCACTGAGGGATTGTGGAACGTCACAGGGAGAAAGGAGTCAGGCTGACACCTGAGTGTGGCCTGAGACCAGAGTCATGACCACATGTGAGAGCCTGAGAGAGCAGGTGAGGGCGCAGGTGGGAGGAGCCCGCGTTCTGTGTTGGACAGGTGGCATGGAGGGTGCAGGTGGGATGTTCTGGTGGAGATGAGATGTCACAGGGGCTGGAGACACAGCTAAGAGAAATCAGGATTCACGGGCATGCAGGCCAGGGTGGGGAGCCCCTAAGGAAAGGGCACAGCCCCCGGCCCTGGAGGGCAAGACTGGAAGGGCGGAGCCAGTGAGGTGGGAGGGGGAGTGTGTCCCGGAAGCCCAGTGATGGTGGTCCCCAGAGAGCGGGAGAGAGCATCTCTTCCATACCTCGAGAGGTGGCCTGGACCGAGGCAATCCTTGTTGACCTGGTGAGCTTTTGTGCAGGGTGGGCCTGTGTGGAGTGCGGTATAGAGGGAAGGGCCGGTGAGGATGTGCTGACAGTGGGTGTAGAAACTTCATGACCGTTTTTGCTAAAAAGATCATTCCCTCCCAACCCATCGCCATGGGATGCTGACATTTAGGGGTCAGGTGGTCCCTTGGTTCAGGTCTCCCACCTCCCACCTGGGTGCTGCGTTCTCATCCTTCACCTTGAAGCATTTCTTATTCACTCTCATAAGAGAAGTTTCTTTAACCATGTTGACACGTCACGTGTGGTGTGACATCTGACTAGGCACAATTTGGTGGTTTGCCAGTTTCCATCTAATAGACATAGGAAAAATGATCATTTTACCAACAACATCCATCCTAGGTTTACGTTTTGACCATCTAGATTGAAAATAATGTGTGCCCCTGGGTGGGGTGGGGGTAGTGCCAGCTCTGCTTTGGTGGCACCTGCACCTGGGTGTCAGAAGTGGCAGGACTATCGTATCAACTTTGGGCTCAAGGCTGCAGGCGGTGGGGGTGGGGGAGCTGGCACTGGTGTCCACTGTGTGCTGCCCAGGAGACCGTCATCCCAGCCTCATTCGTTAAATGGTGAGCAGGGCCTGTGCGGGGGAGCATCTGGCACATGGGGATCCTGCAGGGGGGGGCTGTGGGGGTCGTGAGCAGACTCGGGCGCCACCTCCATATCACCGTTTCCTTTCCCTTCAGGTAAGAACGACGGCTCCATCGGAGGGAAGCAGTACTTCAGGTGCAACCCTGGCTACGGGCTGCTGGTGAGGCCGGGCCGGGTGCGCAGGGCGGTGGGAGCAGGCCGAAGGCGCAGCGCGGGGCTCAGGCTGCAGGGCGCCCCTGAGCCCCGCAGGAGCAGCACCCTCTCCGGCTCTGCCACCAACCTGGCCTCCCTGACGGCAGCTCTTGCCAAGGCCGAGGGCACCGCAGCGCTGCGGGCCGACAGGAGCCATAAGAACCCCGAGAACCGGAAATCCTGGGCCAGCTGAGCCGGCGCCGCACGTCGTGGCCCTCGGGCTGACCCTGTCAGCAGGGCGGCTGGTACAGCCCTGGGGCAGAGTTGGAGCTGAGTGGGCTGTGTCACCTCAAACCCCTTCCCTGGGGGAGCAGGCGATGAAAGCTTTTTGCACGGCAGAGCTGGCGACCGCCCCATTTCTCCGGAACTCTGGAAGCTTGCTTTCTCTCTCTACCTAGAGAATGGAGGAGGCCTTTGCAGGGTAGCGGGGTTGAAGGTGCGTGGAACTCAGCAGCCTGGGCTGTGGGGAGTGAGGCTCCTCGGTCTCCTCTCGCAACCTCATTAACCTCTTAATTTAAAGAATAATCACGACTAGTGCCTTTCCTTCCCCAGAGGCAGGGCGTCCTCCCTCTGCCTCCAGACCTGGTGTCCCAGCCCACCCGTCCTAGGTGCTGGCTGGCTCATCAGGCTCCGGGCACCTCTCTTGTCCCCAAATCCCCCCCACCAAGTAACAGGCTCCTGGAAGTGCCTCTGGCTGGCCTCCTGGGGCTTCGGCACGAGGCCCTGCGTGCCCCAGAGGGGGGCCCGCTGGGCCTGCCGCCCGCCTTGCCCTCTTCCCACAGGGTTTCTTAGCGGTTTCTCCGTGGGCGTTTTAGCATCGTTATACCTAGACATTTTTTTTTCTCTTTTTGCCATTTATTCCCTTAACAGAGTGCTTAGAATATATTTATTTATATTTATTTTTTCAAAATCCGAAATCATTTGCGAGCCACAATCGTCTGCCTGGGTGCAAGTGCCCAGGCCAGCCTCTGTGGCCCCTCGGGAGCTGCCTGCCGTCCACCTCCGGTGGCTCCTGGAGTGGCCAGAGGATGGACCCTTCCCCCCTCCCCTCCGTGTTCCTTTAATGCAGACACACAAGTGGCCTTACTCTAAGATGACAGCAAACACTTGGAGAAATGTCGTGCTTCTGCAGTCAGTGACCAAGTCAGAGGCATCACGACCTTATTTGGTGCAATTTTGGTTTCTGGGAAGATCCTTAGACCAGTTTCACTGCTTGGCAATTCTGTACCCTGACCCCGTGACTACGCCTGGGCCTGTTGAGAGAGCGCTTGCCCACCTCCTGCCAGGACCTGTGGTCCAGGAGCCCTGCTCTGGGCTCGTCCGGAGGGCACCTGTGGGAGCGGAAGGAGGGCAGGGGCCTTGCAGACAGGGGTGGTGCCGGCTTTGCGGGAAGCAGACAGCGGGCTGCCGGGCCGTGAACCTCAGCGGGAGCCCGTGCTCCTGGTCCTGACGGCAGGCGCCCGGTGCCCGAGTGCTGAACTCCAGTTGTTTCTCCGGCCTGGGCCTGGGCCTGGGGTTTGCACGTGGCATTCTTGGCTGCCTGTTTTTAGTTCTCATGTTTAGACTCTTTAGAAATGACACCCAGAAACCTGTTTTTTTTTTCTTTCTAAATCTCTGGTTCTCTGGGGATTTGAAGCCTCTCATGAGAAGTAGTGCCAGACTATGCGGGGCCTGTGGCTCCGACCGGGAGGCAGAGCCCCGAAGGGAGCACCCACGGAACATGGCTGCCGCAAGCTCAGACCCCACGGGGAAGGGCGGGGAGGGTTAATTAGCTCCTAGTCATTACACGTGGTGATGCCCCGCCTGCGCGTGTCTGGCCTCCTCACCATCAGCGGCCAGGTGAGCTGCCTTCCCTGCCTCCCCGTGGTGCCTGCGCATGGACAGGCTGCAGGACAAAACGGAATTGCTCGCAGCTGGTTAGTGCCGGGCTGGGGGGCTCCTGTCCCCCATCCACCCTGGGGTCGCCCCCACCAGACCGCAGCCTGTCCAGCGCCGCCACACACTCACTTCCTCCCCCATTTTAACAGAAAGGTTAGGGCCAGGAGTTCAAAAGCGCACCCTCATTTAGCTTTATCCCAGCACATGTTCGTAGTTTTAGAACTGGAAGGGCTGTTCTCACAGGGAACAGGCTAAAACCAAGGAAAGTTCAGTGATTTTTTCCCCCCAGTTTACATAAGCTGCAGCTTCCGACTCCCAGCCTGGGCTCTTCCCATGGTCCCCTGCAGCACCCGCGCTGCCGGTCCCTCCTTAGAGCACCTGGGCCTTGGCCCCGGCCCCGCCCAGCACAGGAGCACCTGGCCCCGCCTCCAGATTGTCCTGATTTAATCCATTGCTCTCCTAACGAGGGTCTTCTGCCCCAGCGGATTCCTGCTGGCTCTCCCTGGTGGGGGCTCTGAACACTCAGCTCCCCCAGGTGACAGCGGTCCCGTGTCTCGTCCTCGCCCGTCCAGCACCCCTGGCCTGGGAGGTAGGTGTTTCTGTTTCTCTAGTTCTGGCAGCCAGACACGAGGGCGCCTGAGGCTGGGGGTTTGCCCTCCGAGAGGGTTGGCCAGGAGACCCCTGCCTCCCTCCCACAGGGGCCGGCGGGCCTGCTGGGGGCTCCAGGTCTTCAGGGACCCGCCCTCTGAGGCAGGCCCTGCTTTGTGCAGTTGGCATTTTGGGAGCACCTGCTGGGCATGTGTCCCTGAACCGCGTGCCCTCTCGGTTCTGGGCTCTGCTCTTGCACTTAACCAGCACAGAAGCTCCTAAAAGTCTGTTTCAGTTTGCGTTTCCTGTCGCCATCAGTGTGGTCAGTTGACGCGGGTACAGGCACGACCCCTCTCTCTGGGCACAGCAGCCCTTGCTCCCACAGCCTCAGACAACCCACCCTGGGCAGCGAGCTCTGCCCCACGGTCGTTAGAGGGAAACCCCTGTGGAAACGCCTAGGTGCTTATGACCCTTACCGAAGTGCTTGTGGACGCCCATCAGCCCTGTAACGTGGAATCGGCAGCCTTCCGGGAACATCTGGGGAAGGTCAGTGGGGGATGAGGGGTGTCGTGCTCTCTCTATCATTGGGTTCGTTGGTGGCTCCAGCAGGGTTTTATTAGCCGGAGCTCATAGGAACAATGGAGGAGCCTTGAGTGAGTCAGGTCTGCCAGCCCAGCTGTCTGAAGAGGTTTTGGGACCACATCCTTTGTTTTCCAGACTCAGTTTCCTGTTCCCACGCGTCCCCCACTAGCACTACTCTCCCCCTCGGGCCCTCCCCCGAAGCGGCCCAGGACTCAAGCAGCTGACCGGAGTTGCGGGCAGGCGGCTTGGTTCAGAGCTTTCAGCTGCCGGTGCCCATTGTGTGGAAATGCGCCTGTCTCTCTGGGAGGGAAGCACTGGCGCAGTGGTTGTCAGCTTGCTTGGGGTTTTCTGAGGAGGAGTGTGTTTGGGGCCGTCCTGGTAGCGTGTTAGGGAGGAGGTATTTGTCCCGTTGGTGCTCTTGGTGAGCTGTCAGTGTCTCGGGAGGGCAGCACGTGGGCTGCCCTGTGGGTAGAGCCTGCCTCTGGCACCCCCTCCTTCAGTGTCCTCGTCAGAGTGTAGTGTGGTTGTCCTGCTCTGGGCATTGGGGGTGCTGGGTCCTTGTGGGGGCTGGGTTTGCGGTCCTGGTCCTCTCCCCCCAGCTCCCGCCTCACTTGCTCCACAACCTGGACATCTCTTCAGGGCCAGTGTGTCGATGGCTTGTGCAGGGTGCGCTCAGAACGCAGGCAGTCCCGGCTCAGGGAGCCCTCTGCTCCATCTGGCTGGGGAGCAGTGTGTGTTTGAAGTCCGCCGTTTTCACCATCACCTCTTGGTGCAGACTGATGCTGACTTGTGAGTGAAGTGGCGCCGTGCAGTACTGGGGTCACTGAAGCCACAAGCCTGGGCAGCCCCCACAACCCAGCTGAGGGTGCCTGCTTGAGAGTAGGGCGCTCAAGGGAGGGGCTCCATTTCTTCTGTCGTCTTTCTCACCTTACTAATAAGCAGACCTAATTGTAAATAAAGCGTCAGCTTCAGGACTTGCAGTTCGCTTCCTAGCAGGCCCCAGGCAGGAGGAAGCTGGGGCCAGGTGAGGCTGTGGGCGCCACACGATCACTGCCAGGCAGAGACTGGACTGGGCCCCTCCTGGCCTCTGCCTCCCACTCCGCAAGCGCAAGGTCGCCGCAGGCCCCCATCCCCAGGGGACTGCGGGCAGCGGGGCGCAGCCTGGCCTGAGGGAGCAGGGGGCCCAGAGTGCACAGCCAGTGGTGACTGGGCCGGCCATGAAGGGCCTGTGTGTCCAGTGGGCGAGTGAGCTGTGAATGGAACAGTTGAGTCTGAAAGGCTTAGGTGTTTAGATCCGCATTAACTTCCTTACACTTTCTCCTCCTGGCTTAAAGTTCCCTGTATGTGAAACTGACAAGAAGTCTGTGGGTATTTATTTCCCTGGCTAAGATGAGCCCCCTTGCCCGAGGCCACCCGGGGGCTGCATCTCGTGGTGCCCTCAGGTCCCAGGGTGGCCACCTGCCTGCCTGCTGTGCCTCACCTGAGACCAGGAGTGCAGCCTGCAGTTTATCCTCACGACACTGACTCGATTGTCCCCACACGTGCCTTTCTCCCTGAGAAGTCCATCGTGCCTTCTGCCAGGCTGCTGACACTAATTGTGTTGGGGGAGTCGGGACATCTCTGTGTGTGGAGTTCTGTAAATATGATAGGTTCACATAGAAAGAAGTGATTTTTTTGATTGCGGGAGTATATTGATTTGCTACACATGAAATGGGAGTTAAAAATAAAATCCAAAGACTCTGTAATGAAATGTAAAGACTTGATGATTTGTATAATGCACTAAACCTCTGTAATTTTGTACCATATATATGCCTTTCCATGATACGGCCAGCGCTTCTGAATAAAACCAGATGATTTCTTGTCGACACCTGAGGTCCGCCTTGTTGCTTTCCCCTCCCCACCCTGACGCAGCCGTGTTTGGGCTCATTCCAAGCTGTCCCACCGGGCCTTGTTCTGAGTGACGGAGGGGAGGCTTTTCAAGATGGAGCCTAGCAGGGTGAGGTCCAGGAGAGCAGCAGGCCCCCCAGCACGCCTCCCGGGCCCCGCACTCTGCCATTTGGACTGAAGAACCAGGGAGGCCTCGCTGGCTCCATGGTCAATCTTACACCCCAGTCAAGACTTCTAACAGGAGCCAAGAAACAATAGAAACTTTCTGGTGGCCTGAGGCCCAAGGTCACTAAAGCTTCTGGGCTAACGGGGAGACAGCTGGCCTGGGAGTGGGGAGGTGGGGACAGGCCACTTCTCTGGGGCAGGGATGGATGTCCCAGCTGTCAGGTCAGGGCTCCACTGCCTGCCTGATCTGCACAACAGGCCCCACTCCAGACCCCCCAACTGGGGGAGCAGAGCACTTCTTTTCACTGCTGCACAGGTGGGTTGACCCTTGATGGTTCTGCAACAAGGTGTTTGGGGAAGGGGGGGAGGAGGTGGGCTGTGGATGCCGTCTGGGCCGGATCCACTCCTGATGGTAGTTGTTGGCACCTGCCTGGCTGTGAGGCTGACATTCTCATGTCATGGCACCCAGCTGTGCGGCCCAGGGTGGGTTGTGGGGCTCCGGCTCGCAGCTGCGCTGGGGACAGCAGCCCAGCCCGTGACCTGGAAAGGTGAGCAGGCCATCTCTGAGATTGGCTGCAGGGCCTACCTGTGGTCACGGGCATGGCCCAGCACCAGGGAGGGACACGGTCGGCTGGTGGCCCCACTGTTTCCTTCCCTGCATCATTGAACCACTCGGCCTGCCTTGGTCTGATGTAAAATGTACTCACAAATGTCGGGCTGCAGCCACTCAGAGGGGCTGACTGAGGCGGCCATCAGTCAGAGCACATCTCAGCACGGCTTGTTTATATTCCTAAGTGCCTAGCGTTGTTCTCAGAGACAGGCACTGCCAACGAATGACAGATATTTGGCCGCCAGGAGCTGCCGTGCCCTGAGGCAGGAGTCTGAATGTAGAACTGATCTAGCTCCTAGGACAAATCTTTATTTTTCGAACTGCTAGTTTTTTGCAACTCAATGAGATCTCCTTGGTCTGCACAAGGCTGTGGGGGTTTTACCATTGCTTAGACCTCAAAACAAGCCCTGGTGGATTTGTCACGTTTATTTCATGCATTCACCCCCCCACCCACCGAGTCACTCACTGAACATTTGTATCCAGTGCAGATCAGCACTCTTGAGGAGCAGGCAGAGTGCATGGTGCCCGCAGGAGGGGCCCCAGAGGCTGTAGAGGTTGAGGAAGTTACCTGTAGGCAGGTGTTTGGGGGACTAGGAGGAGAGATGGAGGCAGTGGTGTTGAGGGATGGGTGGGGAAGACTTCCGGGGGGGGGGCGGGGCGCACGAAGGACCAGAAAGAGCACTTCTGGCCCAAACTGGAGCGTGGGGTGGCCCTTGATACTGCCCCCTCTCCCATCTCCTGCCCACCTCCACGTGGCAACTTAACGGTTTGGGGGCAGCTTAAAATTTTGCAGTCTTTTCTAATTATGTATAATGAAAAAAACAGTCCATTTACTTGAGGTTTTCTCTGAGAAAGGAAAGTAAATGGATTTGAGTGTTGGGGGGCAGAGGGGAGCTTTGTCCTGGAGTCCTGCTTAAGAATTTGATCCCCACCATTGGATGCCTTTAAAGAAACACAAAGCTTCAGCTTTCTTGCGTTTTGTTGTTTAACTGCTGAAGGGGAAGCCCCAGGAAAGATGGTTCTTTTAAGAAAATTAGGTGCTCAGGGTCTGGCTTGGGGTGGGGCGTGAGGGTGTGTGAGGTATCACTGCTCAGCACAATGCAGTAAAAGGCGGAGAAACGGCAGGGATCCCGGTGGCTTCAGGACGTGGACGTGGGGAGATGGTGAGACGTGAGGAGGACAGCTGGGGAGGGGGGGTGCTGGTGCCCACAGTGAGGGGAGGTGTGGTCTGGGGGCGGAAGCTACACTACAGGGGCGTGAGGGGAACTCGGAGCAGACAGGAACCAGCGCTGGTTGGAGTCAGGAGTGGGCAATTGAGGGATGAGGGGAGCTTTCCCGAGCGCTGAGCCGCTGGCACTCCCTCTCAGCCAGTCATGTTTTGTCACCTTCCCCTGTTCACACAGCCTCGGGTCTCTGGGTGCACTTGATCCCTTTTTAAAGCACAAGGGGCTGATGTTCAGAACTGCACACGCCCACTCCGGGAGTGCCGGGCACGTCCCAAATGACCGTTCTTTCCCAAAGAAATCCCAGCCAGTCTTTGTTCAGTTATACATTTTATTCTCTAATAGGTACAATACTAAAATAAACACAAATTAAAAAAAAGTTTTATTAAAACAAAACTGTACAAAAAAGCAGTATATACTACATTTTAATTACAGAACAGTCTACTGTCCAAAAGGCACTAATCCAGAATAGGAGATACAATGATACAGGACTCATTGGAACTATTTTAATCAATACAATAGGGCGCTTGTTTCTTTGACCATTTACATCTAGAAACAAGGGCTTCTTGCTACAGTCATCTCATTACACATTGTTATAAATATGAGTCCCACAGGTGAAAGTGCAGTATCGCTCTCCCGAGAGAAGGTTCAGGTCAAGAGGGACCCAGGTGGGGCCGGCAGGTGGGTGGGCAGCGGGGGCGGGGCCTTCGTGGTGGAAGAGCTGGCTGCCCCGGGCACACGGAGCTTGTCTTCCGGCCCGGCCTCTCAGAGGGTGCGTTTCTGACCACCGCTGGCAGCCACCTCACCCTCCTCGTGTGTGTTAGCACCGGGAAAGTGGGTTCTGAGATGTCCCAGGGAGCGGGGCTGGAGGTCTAGTGGGAAAGCGCCCGCTGCTCAGCAGAGGGGAGGCGTTTTGGTAGCCTGACCTGAAAAAGGCAGCAGCTCCTCAGAGAGGGGCATGGAGCCCAGGGGCGGCCCATGAGCTGGCATTACAGCCAGGCAGAGAGCCCCCGCTGCTTTCTGGGCAAACTTCGGCCCAGAGATAAGAGGTCCCCGTTCCTCAGTTCAGAGAGGTCCTGCGTCCCCTCCTGGTGGGCCCGCTGGAGAGTCTGGGAGAAGGACCCTACAGTCTTTTGTTTGGGAAGCTGATTTCTAGAGGTGGGGTTTTGCTTCCCAGAGGCCCTGCCCTCCCTCGGTGCCGCCTCATGACTACCAGCGGCTCCTGGGCAGTACGGGGCAGATCTCTGTCCACTCGGCCAAGTCTGGTGGCCTGGACAACTCTCTGAACCCCAGGTTTGATTCTCTAATGGACTCTGGACCTAAGGAAGAGAGATACTGCAGCTTTCCAAACAGTGTCATACACATATAAGACAAAGACAGGCATCTGATGTTAACAAAAATAAGTAACAAAGAAATAGGATTAAACCAAATCTCTTCTCACAGCGTCCTATACTACATCCTCCTTCTGCTTAGCAGAAAATTGTACGTACACAAAAATACAAATACACAATTTTGTAGAACAGTCTGATTTTAATATATTTATATATATTTATATTTATACGAGTGGCAGGTTAGTTCATTATATAGAGCTTTTTGCACTTTTGGCTCATATGCAACAAGGCTTATTATAAATTCAGCTTTAGCTTTCATTCAGGTTTTATAGCTTTTGAACAATTGTTTTCACATTTAAAGCAGCATCCAATTTGCACTAGGAGTTTGTGGTGATTACAGGAAAGATGGGGTCAGGAGGTGACTGACGGGGAGGGCGGGGCCGGGGGCAGAGATACATTCCAGTGTGTGTGGCGATGTCAGGATTGCTATGGGACAGAGCTGACCATGATGACCCCTTGAGGTAGACGGAACACCTTACAGCAGACTCAGACACAGGTGCGACTCCCCTCAGGGGCACATGGTGCACGAGATGGGGACAGAGACCAGGAGACGCCAAAGGGAAACACAGACTAAGACACACGGTGGCCAAGGCAGGCGGGGCGCTCTGCCCCACGCCCGTCCGGCCGGGCGCCCGCACAGGCCCTCGCAGACACTCGAGGATTTGGTGGGTGCTGAGACTCCCAGGCAGGCCCCAGGCATCTGCACGTGGGATCTGACCAGATTCCGACCGGCCAGCTTCCCCGCCTTTTTCTAACTTGCGGCGCCAGCTTGTTCCCACCCCTACAGCGACAGCAGGTAGACAAAGCCGCACATCATCCCACAACGCAGCGTCTCTCCCCAGTCCTCTGCGCTCGCTCGCCAGAGAGTTCAAGTCCAGTTAAGAGGAAAGAAACCGGGCCTCTCTCCCTGCCTCTAATTGCACTGTTTTCCCCCAGCTCATGCCCTCGCGCTTACATTCATCTCTTTCAATGACAACCGGGGTAAGTGACAAGCCCTTGGTAGGACCTGTGAAAACAGCATCTGGAGGACTGGTGTAACGCGCTCACACGCTCCAGAAAAGCCTTGCTTTCATTATCACCACAGCAATGTTCCCCCCATCTGAACACTTGCATCAACCTGCCTCCCTTCTCTATCCCAGTCAGCAGACTTCCTCTGGCAGATGTGCCCTTACGCGTTCATGTCAATGCCCAGCGTTCGTGTTATTTACATTGTCTGAACAAAAATGCTGGATTATTAATGAAAATAAAGTGCCTGGCTATGGATTGTTCCATTTTGCAAAACCTTCTAATGCACCGACAAATCATCTGAGCGTTGCTTACTGCTGTGATGTGAACAGTGTGCAGTCACAAAATAACCCATCGCACACCCACCACGGAGTAAAGGCCCCCGATTTAGGTCAGACTTAAATTACTCTACAGAAGAAGCAAGCAAATAATCTCACTCATTTTCAAAGATGCGCTTCCTACCTTGCTTCGCCCCGATGGATGACGGCCCTTCTGGGCAGACATCCTGAACCTCAAATATAGGAAAAGCGGACGCAGAGAGGCGGCCAGGGTTCCAGGGACCAATGATGGCAAATGAATCATCAAATCATTAAAAAAAAATCATTTTTAACTAGGATCGCTGGACTCTCTGCCTCCTGGATCAGGATGCGCTTTGCAGCTGCTGACAGACGGACGGAAGGCTGCCCTGAGGCTGCCTGGCTCCCCTAGCTTCTTCCCTCAGTAGCTACAGGTTTCACTAAGCAAGCGTCTTAACATTCTCGCTGAACCAAGACCATAACACCATCAACAGAAACACCCCGAGAAAAGCAGCACAGGAAAGAGTGACAAAGCCAGCCTGAAGGGGCCACGCGCTCCTGCCCTACCTGCTTGCCCTTGCAGGTGTTCTGCCCGCAGAACGCTGGGAACCTTGACAGGGGCGGCCACCCTCGCCCTCTGCCAGGGCTAAGTGCAGGGTGGGGGAAGGGAGGGGGCAGCGCATAGGCCGACTCTCTGGCAGGTTCCAGAGGTCTGTAACTTGCTTAGGCACTTAAAAAACATAAATAGAAACTCATCCTCGGACGGTACTGCATACCCAAGTGACCATGGCCGTGGAAAGGAGGGGAGCCCGTGGGGAATCAGAGAAGGCTGTGGGCTCTTCCGGGGAGGCAACTATGATGTTCTTGGCATTTTCCGGCAGGGATGGCGCCCCCCCCCCCCTTGCAGCCTGGGTGAAGCTGAAGAAACCGGGGCTGGGCCTAGCAGAGGCCTTTCTCTTTCCGTCTGAGTGGACCAGGCAGAGCAGGTGTGGGGCGAGGCTCGGGGCAGGGCTGGGGGTGAGGCACAGGCTGCACAGACTTGCTCTCTATTATTGGGGTGAGAAAAACTAGGAAAAGAGGCCCTTCCAAGAGGAGTGTTCTGGCAAAATCAGTGAGCAGTAATGAGAAGCCTCGCCAGAGTCACCAATGCTTGAACAGAGCAGCTCCCCCGGCCCGCCCCCAGTAACTTTGGTTTCGGTTTCGCAGTGCCCCTTTTCAGAGACGCATCCTTAAGGGGTTCACGGATTCCAATATATTGAAATGTGGTTTTCAAGGCAACTAACAACAATGCTCTTGAAGCCCACAGCTGAGCTCTCTCACCTTCATTCAATCCATTCTACTAATGTATGTACTGCACCGCCCCCAAGAATCTGGCATAAAAACAAGAGTTGGATGCAATATCACTGGAGTGGCTGCTGTTTACATTAATACAGCACTAATGTCATTTTGTTTCCAGTTTAATAGCTTCAATGAATGATGAAGTGGAAAGATGACCCTCACAAGTTTATGCTGGGCCCTTAGTTCCAGTAAAGATGAAAAAATGAGAGAGGTTTCTGTGCTCGAAGGAAGCCAGAAAAATGAGCCTGAGATTGAAACTTGACCTGGAAATGATGGGAAGTTGAAAGAGCTGTCGGGGGTAGTTTGGGGACCCAGCTCTGCCCTGCTTACTGGCTGGTGAGGGTCACGTGCTCCTTCCGACGGTGGAGTTAGGTCTCCATTGCAGAATGTCTGTGTCATCAGAGGTGCCAAGTCTGGATCAGAACTGGAACAGAGGCACAGATACTTTCTTCCCTTCACACTCAGGGCGGGTTTTCTGGTGGGGGCAGTGGGTAACCCCAAAGCCCGCTAGCCAGCTAATGAAACAAGGCGCCTGTTACAGGGACCATCAGTCCCAGGCAGTGGACCTGATGGGCCCCCTCTCCTGGGGCCACGCTCCAGGGGTGGCTTCCACTCTCTTGGGCTTCAAGGCTGCCAGGGACGTGACAGAGCCAGCCCCTGGAGAACCACTTATTTTTGAGAAGAGCTGGAGAAGGGGAAGAGAAACATGGCATTTTAGTCTCGTCCTCAGGCCAGCTGGGTGCCCATGTCACTAACAGCAGTCACTGAGCCTCCACACGAGCCCTGGGGCAGCTTGCCCGTTGCCGGACGTGGTTACTAGAAAGTTCTTATGCTGAGCCAAAATCTGGATCACTGTCTGTGCGGGCCACCTAAGGCCCACGAGGAGCCAGAGAGAGCCCAGCAGGGCAGACGCTGATGACGCCGGAATTCCAGGCCCTCCAGCTCCGCAAGTACTGGCCCAGCCCCACTGCTTCTTGTGACAATGACAAGGGACGGCAGAATGAGTTGGAATGGCTTAGCAAGACACCGCTAAACACAGGCAGGATGCGCTAAGGAAGAGCTGAACAGAGAAAAGAGGAAGTGAGAGGTGTTACCCTTCTCTGCCTGGGCTAACCGGGAGCCAGGCCCGGGGAGCGCTGGTAGGGCCAGCGCCCTCAGAACTGACGACAAGACTGCTGTAACCTTCCTTCCCCGTAAGAGCCAAGGCCTTCACACTCACTTCCCGGCGATGGGAGCCTTGAAACAAGAGGTTTCAAATCGTAGCTGCTGAGGCTCACTGCGTCCCTGTCACCATTGCTGAGGAGAAAGTCTCAGGGGAGGGGACGATCATGGCAGCATGGTCCTGTGTCAAGGGGAAGGACGTGCACAGAAGGATGATGGCAGTAAATGCAGTGATTTACTCAGAGCAGGGCCAGGCACACCCCACGTGCTCCGTCCTCCGATTAGCATCCTACTGAGGTGATTTACTTGACCTCATTAAGGTGGTCCGGTTCAGAGCAGGGTCTGTGAATACAAGAAGCAAGGCGGGAAAACGCTCAGCACAGTGCCCGGGGCAGCACGTGCTCAGTCTGTTAGCTGCACGTGTCCTGAGCTTTGAATGCTCCGGGAGGTCTGAATGTCCTTGTATGATTTAGAATGATGACATCTTTACTCTAGTTTCCTGTAAGAATAACTTACTTCTGGCCTCTTCTTCCAAAAAATATGTATTTCATAGCTAAACACTACCTATATTTTCAGAGTTTGGTGAATTGGTTTCCTTTTTTCTTTTTTTTCCTTTTAGCAAGGGATGCTGATGGTATAGGAATATATGGTGTAGGGAATTTTAATCACCGAAGTGGCCTCTTTTTAAACATCTGGGAAGGCAAGTGTCTTGGCAACTCCAGGTCTTTTTAAGTAGCACCATCGCGTAAGCAGCACAAATAATACTTTGATCCCTAAAATTGTAGATTGTGTTAGAAGGTTTTAACTGCAGTGATAATTCCATTTTCTTTAAATGTAAGCAGATAGAATGTTCTGCTTACTGTTTTAATGCATGCATATCTCAGAAATCACAGAATTATACTCATCTAGTCAGTTCTCAGAATCGCTAATCTTAAGACAGGTTAATTCTAATGGAAGGAGTTATCTGTTAGCTAGGAAAATAAGAAAAGGGATGGGATACTCTACTCTTTGGGGTCATAAATCCATAGCCATTGCAACTGGCAGAAGACTGATAGGATCCCACAGAAAAGGCTCAGTGAGTGTGCGTGCATCTTGAAAGCCGGCGTGTGGGGTGGAGTGCAGATCTCACAGGAAGAGAAGCAGTGAGTAAAGACGTTTTATGGGATTATGTTTCCTGATCTAGCCCAACTATGTATTTGACCGTAGGTATTTCAAGGGGAACAAAAGTAAAAGAACTTGAAGGCAGAATCTTTCCCCAAATTGTGTGTGTGTGTGTGTGTGGGGGGGGCGCGCGCAAGAACAGTTCTAAAGCAGCAGCCTACCTCAGCATTTTCATGAAACTGAAGTTGAACTAGCATCTAGGTTAGAACTCCTTCTGCTATGAGGAGAGGGGAAAAGATCTGTGTCAGGATGAGCAGCAAACTATGAACAAAAGGGAGAGCTGTCTTTTCTGTAGTGGCTACTAACCAGTCCTGGAGTGGCCGGGCCTAAGGGAAGAAAGCTCCCAGCGGCAGGCCCGCCAGGAAACGGAGCAGCTGTGAATGGCCACTTGGCAAGATGCTGTGTGCTGCTGCTCATATAGATGTACGCTTGATCGATCATGTAGCTGAATAAAGACTTCTGCAAACGATGGAAAAAACCAAACAAAGCGTATTCTGGAGAGAAAGGCTAGGTAGTGACATTGCAGCTCCCGCCCAGCGTGAGGCCACAGGGAGAGAGCAGTGGGCCTCAGGCAGGGGATTATGTATGGTGTCAAGACCACATGATGCTCGATGGAACAGGGTGGACTGAAAAGAAAGGAAGAAAGAGGAAGGCAGAGAACGTGGAAGGGCTAAGTAGACAGTCCCACTGACACAGCAGGACAATGGGGAAAACTCAGGGTCACAGCAGGCTGCCGACGAGAGGAAGCTGGTAACTGCCGTAAGAGTGACGTGAGAAAACCTGGGTGGAACTCAGGCTTTGGCTCCACTAACTTTTGATCACTGCAAATATCAGTGTTCCATTCATGCCACATAGGTGTTTAAAGCCCATATGTCTTAGTTTATTTATGTGTTCATGTCACATGATCCAATGAGGAAAACCCTATTTAACTCACATGTAAACTCCTGTTTGATAAACACTTTCTGATGGTGACAACAATGGAAATATCAAATGACCAAGAAAAAAATTTTAAATTCTAGGGGGCTTGTTAAGTGGTCAGTTTCCTCAAGTCAGGCCGACACAATCTGCCTGCTGGGTAGCAACTGGGACAAAGTGACCTGGGGGCCTCGTCGCTAGCCAACTCAGTCTGGGATTCTGACTGGACTTTCTGCCTGAGGTGGAGCAGGCTGAAACTGGATGTGAGAGAGAAGTTTCCAATAATTTAGAAGTCAGGTGGGGAGCAATAATCAAAGGCTTCCATTTTGAAGCTGAAATAACTCCAAATCCTTCTGTCTCACTTAGGAGAAGACACAAACACCATGTCATTATTTTAGTTTACAGAGTTGCTGTTCCAAATGTTCCAGGGAGCTTTAGTGCTACAAGGGAACAGGGAATGGGAGAGCTGCCATTTTCAATCACATAAAGGACAGAAATCCTTTTAATTATGACCATGCCAATCTACATCTTGCTAAAACAGCTAATTACATGTCAGGAGGACACTCAGTCATTCAGAACAATTGTCATTATATTTTTATATATTCATTCTATGCCACCCCCCTCAATTACCATGGTTACAATTTCAAAGGATTCAGGCAAACCTTCATTTGATCACAGTACACCAATGTGAATTTGAGAGTTAATTATGGCTGTGTAGAGCCACTTTTATTTAAAAGAGAGAAAATGAAAATGCAGTCGAGGGAGCAGGCATCCCAAGATGTACTCGTATGAAGTGAGAGCCAAGCTGTGCGCATGCGCCCAGCTCAGGGAAGCGTGTGGCACATGTGGGAACAGCACACACTCGGTGGCTGGCCCTACACTGGCCGCCCGGTGGGCACAACACTGGAACAAAGTGATGCAAAAACTTGCGAAGTAAAAGGGACACTGGGAGAGAAAGGCGAAGCCCCCTGCAGACATATCCTTCCTTCCCGTGTTGTCAGGGAGCTGGCTAATGAGGTGATGGTGTGAGGTGCGTGTGGTAAACTGCCAGGGGTGTAAAAAGGCTAGTTAGCTTTCACAGGAATGGAATCAGCTAGAGTTAGTTCTGCTCACTGCCTGGCGCCCAGTGTCATGTGAAGAATGATAAAAAAAAAAAGGAGTCCAGGGATAGGCACATTTGCAGTCCCAGTGCATCTGCTATGCCCATGAGCTTCTCGGATGGCGGTACGAAGGGGAGGCAAGATCCTTGGGTGCAGCCAACTTCCCCTCTCTCCTCTCCTGTTTCTTCCCCTCTTGATTGCAAAAGAAAACCAATGTTATAGGAAACTGGATTTCTCAGACCGTTAGCTTTCCTTTTGCTATTTCTCATCTCTACCAAAAAGAATAATGATGCTGATGTGGAAACTTCGCAATTTATAAACTTGGGATCTTTTGAAGAGGGCTGTGCCTCAGAGATCAGGGAGTCAACCCTTGGCCCTCTAAGATGCTGAGAGCAGTGGCTCGTCACTTTCAGTTTATAAGTAAAGAGAATTAGGAACAGCCTTTCCAAACAGAACCTGTTTGTGAGAGGAATTTCTGCAATCGGCAAACAGACTCGCAAGCTTGATGGACTTTTTAAAAAGCCTTTCTCACCACCTTCATATGGCAGTTCTCCTGAGAGTGGTAGGTAAGGAAATCTCTTAAGTGGTAGTTGTCTTTTGGAAAAAGAAAAAAGCATATAACGAAGGAGACCACAGTCCAGAAAAAGAAAGGGCCTCTGCTTTGACAGCACGCTGCTGTTGGGGAACCCTCACAGGATCACCTGGCCGTTCATAGTTGCCTCCCGGGGAAAACCTTCCGTTCTCATTATGGTGCAATACCTTTTCAACTGGATAACTTAGGTCTCACTAGGTAATGTAAATTAGACATACGGAAATTAAGAAACAGTAAGAGGGTTTTCAGGGCATGCAGCTCAGTTTGCCAAATTCAACATGGCTGACAACTGATCCCCAAATCCTGAGTAAACATCCTTGCTATTGAGAGAGCACACAAAAAGGAATGTTTTATCTGTGAAAGTTCCACCCCCGTCCCACTCCCACGGCATCCCCCCACCCCACCCCTACGCCCCACAAAGATACCACCAGCGGGAGCTGGTCCATGTGCCCAACTTTCACTCAGGAAGTCTTGACTAACAAATCCGGCTCAGTAAAGCTATAAATGGATTTGGCTGGTCTCAAGGCAGCCCCAATGAATACAGTAGTAAAACATTACTGATAATCACAACAAAATGGCAACGTCTATCACCACTCTGACATAGGATTTAAGTCACAGACAGATTAACAAAGAAAACCAACTCGCAATGTACAGGGTCAGGACTAGTCAATCAACGGAGAGTGCTACTGAGCACAAGATCATCAAAAACAAGAAAAATTATTGCCTAAGAATCTGTTGAGACTCATTGGGGGGAAAAATACTCTCTGGTGGTTCTCTAAACAAAAAAAAAGACAAAAACAATTTTAAAAGGCAGAGCCATGAGTTAATGGGAAGACTGCTTCTAACCCAACCCTTCTTAAGACCAAAGAGAGAGTAAGGACTTGAAGTTCACATTTTTAGGACAGGGGTGGGGGATCACTTATGGAAAAGGGGCTATTTCCACTGTTATGTAGCTGGTCAGTGGAATATGTAGCTGGTCGAAAGGATGGACTGCAAGACAGGAAGGAGTGTTTGTGTGAAGAGATGGACCACACCCACCTACTTTGCTTGCTGTGGAAAATGAAAAATGCCAGCAAAGAAGTCAGCTCAAAATGAGGCCTTCATGTTGGAGCCCAGAAGAAAACAGAAGAGTTGTTCGCAGACGGAGGATGTGAGTGGAGATTCCTGATGAGAGTCTGTCTACCCTTGGTGCCTGACAGTTGGAACCCAAGAGGGAAGTTTATAAGGACAAACAGGGAGAAATGAAACCGCTGTATCTGCGAACTCTTCATAAGACGACCCCTTTAAGGTAAAAAAAAATCTGGATATCTGGCCCCAGGAGAGCTGATCACTGGACTGCCTGCCATCACAAATCTAGGAACTGGAATACTGGATTTGCACACTTCAGTGACTTATGAGATGCTTCTTCCTCATTCATGTCTTTTTAGGTGGTCACCTCCACTGAGCTAGAGGAAGAGGTACCCTAAAGGGGTCTTCCTGTTCCAGGATCTTTCTTCCTGTGAAGGAATATAGAAATGTGGGGGCAGGGGCAGTCCCACCAGCAACAAATGTGTGGAACTGTACAGATCCCATAGGTAGATAGAAGGTAACCACTTATCTACCAATTAAAGGATCAAGATTGTGAAGAAAACTGCCTTAAAGGGTACTCCAACATCCCAAGCTTTGCTGAAATAAACCAAAATGTCTGTTTGGTACTGACTGGCACTAGAAGGTCTCAGATAAGAGTGTACTGTATGGCTCTCACTGGCCTTCCTCTGATGTTAGGGTTATCAACAGATGGGCAGAGCTCTCATTAGGATAGTCCATCTTCAAAAGGTCCCTTCGTAAGGCTGTGTTTTAAGAAGGTTAGGAAGTTGACCTATGTGACCATAGTAATTCAATGAAGTCTTTTTAAAAACAACAACAAAACAACAGACAAGTTACATGAACTGCTGGCAAGGTCTCTGCACCCTCTACTTTTCGCCTCCCTTGCCCAGGGAGGGGCAGCCCCTGAAACAGTCCTCTGGGGCCTGGAGAAAAAAACACAATGAGGTAAAAGAGGGACAGAACAATCAAAAGCACAGTAAGGGTTTTCTTTAAGAGCCTGGCTATGTTCCCTTCAGTAAGAGAGCAGTTTAGGGTTTCTATTTTAATACCACCTCTCAAACCTGAAAAAGCTTTACCATCCAAAGATATTACAAATTAGTGGCAACTCCACATGCCAATGTAATAACTAAGGTAGCCTGGACAAGACAGTGGAATCGAACCTGGTGACAAACAAAAATACCAATGGTAAATTGAAATCTAGGCCCCAAAGAACTAAATTTTTACTCTAGGTGAAAAAGCAAAAGTTACATGTAAGGTAGTGGGGCCTTAAGAGCAGGCCAGCAGTCCTCTCTAATTAAAGAAGAATTCTGGGTGGAAGAGTCTTTCCTCCTTTTTATACAAAACTCGGCATGATGCTAGCCTGCACGGGTAGACACATTCCCTCAGGTTTTCCAGATTGCCAGGTAGGATCTAGTACTGCCTTCATGGACACTCACTCTCCTTCATACTGTTTTTCTTTTTTTTTTCCTTCCTTAAAGGTCTTAAAACAATGAAACCTTTTAGCTTTTCTCTGGCAATCACTGTAGTCCTTTAGAAACTGCAGCTGTCTTAACAGTTCGAGTCTGTTTCTTTAAAAAGACCAGCAAGAACAAATGATACTAGCAACCCCATCATAAAGAAGCTATCAATTATAATAATCTCCTTACAATAAATCATGGATGTGGCTTGTCAGACAGTGTATTTTTCTCTCTCCTTTTCTTTCTGATTCAGCCAAGAATAAGCCAACGAAATTCCACCAAAATGGAAAGATACAATATGTTCTATTTCTTCTAAGTAATATAAAAGGAAAGGAAGATAAGACAATCTCCTAATTGAAATAAAAAGTCAAACACACCAAGAAAGAAAATGAGTGGGGGATCGTTCCTGAGAATAACAAATGCTACTCTTGAATTTGTTGGTTCAAGTAATACAGTAAAACAGAAAAGACTGCTCCGTTCTACTTCAGTTCTTGGAAGCTGAGAAAGTATATACAATTTCCCCCTGAAATCCATGGACAAGAGCAGGCCTCGGCCCTGCCGACAGCTCTTTAAAGTCACAGACCCATACAAGGTGGCACTTGCATGCCCTCCCAAAGGCTTCCTCACACTGACGTTAAGTAGGATTAACAGATACAGAGACAGTCTCGTCAGCAGGCGCCTTCAGTGGAGTTAGACCAGCTGAAAACTGGCGGACATGCAATAGCTCACTAACGGGAAAGGGCAAACGAAGACAAAGTAAGTCTCACTCTCTCTCAATGGTTTTAAGATGAATACATTTGAGGGGTGAGGAGGTAAGGAAATGGCACCTTCCTTCTATCTTGGAAATCGTTTTCAGGTAATGGACAGACAGAAGTCCTGCTTACTAGCCAGCCCCCTACTCCCCTTTAAACAAGGCTTCATTGTACACGAAAAGGCGAGATGGAAAGAGGCGGAAAACGTACAGCAGTTGTGCCTCTTGCAGACACACCCTTTGCTGATACACTGAGGGCTGTTTCCTCTCACCCACAGTGACAGCCTGTCATTTAATCGGGATGCCAGGAGATCATTTTCATACAAGGCCAGCAGATGTAATTTTCTTTGATGCATGAATAGTTCATCATTTTGCTACTAGATGACAAGGTGACCACAGGGTGACTTTATAACGCAAGTTCACTGTTTGGTATTTTGAGTTCTCAAAATGAAAAAAAGATTTATCAAATATAAATATCTTTAAAAAGTAACAAAAGTGCTACATATGTGATCAAGGAAAAAAATTCCATTAGTTACTGCCGCTTAAAGTAGATTAAACTTTACAAATATTACCACATCCATTATCAATATGGCTTCCAATTATTAAATAAATTGCCTGTAGCAATATAGCTTTTCACACCTCGACAAGGACAGAGTAAAGAGAACACCAAAGCAGTCACACCCCGTCGTATCTCGCAGACCCACCACTTAACGTGGTGAATGTCCCATTTTTTTTTCTGCTCCTGTTTAGGAAAGCATTTGCATTTGTGATAGTCAGTCAGCATAATCCCACTATAAAGTCCTCTGTCACCCTCACAGCGAGGGGGCTTCAGTTAATGGATACAAACACTGGAAGTTCGTTCACTCATTTCTGACCTTAGCTCCATTCTTGAAAGACTGTTTTTGGTAGCAGGGAAAGGGGACCCAGACAGGAGGCAAAGCGGCTTGCTTGCTTCCATGATGACCTCCAGCACTTTTCTAGACAGGCACGTACCTGGGCCACAGACACTGTACAGTGGTTCTGAGAACTGGACTTAGCGTCCATTAGACACATTCAGCTCATGTTTTTTTCCCAATGCCTGTCACGCTGGGTTTTTTCTTTTTCTTTCTTTCCTTTCTTTTTTTTTTTTTTTATGACTTTCATTTTTATCTTTTTTTTTGTTTGTTTTAATCATGGTCCCAAAGGCAGAAGGCAGTATTTTATCTACTAAGTCACACAGCTTGTGAGAGGAAAGGATGTCTGTGTCAGGCATGTTAACATCAACCAAAATCTGAGATTGAGTTTTCCCATTGACATTCTTAGCACAGCACCCAAAGAAGTATAATCTAGCCACAGTGTGACTATTATGAGGCACGGCTTATTGCAGCTGGAAATCAATTATTCCCACACGGAGGTGGGGAGTCTAGTGTTCCTTTTACTCTGCGGATACTCCTCAAATGGTGTCTGTCAGTCCGGGGCCACACTACCTCAGCTTGCATCCTATCAGTCTGAGGGAAGGAAAAGGGGTACAGACTAGTGTTACAGGGATCCAAAAGTACCCAAGGTTTTACATGTAGCCTAATATTTGAGAACTGAGGGCTATCTAAATACCTGGAAGCACTTTCTTGGAATGCTAAGACAGAGCAGCAAGATTTTCTAGCCTCGGGGGCTGGGAGGGGGAAGTTTGGTTGGTTGGTTGGTTGGTTGGTTGGTTGGTTATTATTTACTGGGAGTTAATACTGAGAGAGTATATGCAAAGGCTGAGGGCACCATGCCATCTTCACAGAACAAGAAGACCCTAACGGCTAACTGACATACAAGAAACTGCAAGTTATACTGTAAGAACACATGTTAAAGACCGAGGAAAGTCTGCTAAGGTGCTACGTCTAAACTAAGTTAATGCCTCGTGTTTACCCCTCCCTCATCAGTCGTCATCCAGGGCCTCTGTCTTGATTTCGTTGGCTCCTTGTCGGGCCAAGGCCAAGATCGTGTGGTTGACTGCTGCCATTTCCACTGCTAATGAGATGGGGTCTTGGTGGTCACTATGGCTAGTGCTGTCATCCTAGATGTGCAGGAATAAGGGAGACATGTTATTAGTGGACTGGTAAAATTCTCTAGCTCACAGAAAGGCATGCTGGGTGGGGCAAGGGGAGACAGAACATCTGTGGGAGGAAGTAGAGTGGGAAGGTGGGGGGCTCATGACAAGAGTGGAGGTGAAATGTATTTAAGTAGACACTGAATGGATATAGGTCCTGAGACTTCCAGTTGACATTTTTATGATTTAACAAATAAGCATGAAAATGTTTTTTTTTTCCCTGCTCAGAATTTTATTCATTCTTTCAGAATGATGGCTGGTGATAAGAAAACTTGGCTCATTCCAGTTTTGCAAAACACATAGCACTAGGCACTGAAAGTCATACTAGTGAGCTATTACATTCTAGATTGGTTGGTACTCCTACGAATAAATTAATAGAATTTATAGTATCTCTCTACTGAACTGAGAAAACTAGACAAAAAACTAGACAGACACCAACATCTTATGAATAAAAATGTGTTTTTGTAAAAAAACAACAACAACAAAACAACCAAAAAACAAAAACCTCTCAATTATAACAGGACAAAAGTGTAACTGCCGGAAATGGTTTAAGGTGCTCTCCTGCTGGAAGGCAGCTGTGTGAGGGCATGTGAGGCTCTCCTTCCAAGCACAGCTTGAGGTATTAAACAGTAAAGCTGTGAAGGAAGCTGGCATTGCGGGGTGTTCATCAGGCACTGGAGACAGTGTTACAAGTAAGGGGGAAGTTTCTCACCTGTCAGATCTTCAGGGGAACTCTGCATCAAAAAGCTTTGGAAAGGGTAAGTCCCTTCGGGAAAAAAGCGTGAGATCGTGGGATGTGCTGCCCTTAGGGCATCTGGAAAAAAAGATGGAAATGATCCATCTACATTGGTAGGTTGAAAAATAACAGGAATGTTTCCAATTAGAAAGACCTACAGAACATTCTCTTGAGTCAAATATGGTGCTATGGGTTGGAGCCCTTAAAGAGAAAAAGGTAACCCTTGGCAGTATGGGCATCATCATTTCACTCTCATTTTCATGGACGGGCCGTAAGAGTTTAGAAAGGACCGGCATGGAGTTGCATGTGCTTGGCAGTATCTGCGCTCAGGCTGCTGAATGAAGGCTGTGACATGTTAGGCACAAACGGACTGTATTTAAGAGCTGGCTGAGGGGTGAGGAGAAGGGGTGCATGTCACAGGAAGGCTTCCTTTCCGGGGTTTAGGAGGAGACACCATATTCCATATGGAAATGAATCTTAAATCCTATAAAAAATTTTAATGACATGTCACCAGATATGTGGGGGGAAAAACTCCCACATTCTTGGTTCCTGAATTTTTCCATCCAGTGGCTACAGTTAAATATATTTTTTCCCCCAAGCAATGAAGAGTAAGTCAGGGTGAGGTGAGAGACATGCATTGATGAGAGGATGTGTGTCAATGTGCCGGGGACTCAGGAAGAGCCACTTGTCTCGGCATAAGGGTTCCCACTGCAGCGGGGCCGTAGTGGGTGGGACCTGGCACGGTGTGCTGTGCGGGTGCACGTCTGAGGCACGGACCACAGCTACCCAGTCGCCCCTAGTATCTCTCAAACATCGAGTGTGTGTGTGGTGAATGGTGTAACTTGCTTGTTTGGATCAGATCCTCCTCTCTTCTTCTACCTTCTCTGCTTCTCTGCCTCCCTCTGAACTTCTTCCCTCCTCCTCCTCCCCATTGCGTACTTGCCAAGTATCCTGTTGTATGACAATAAATCCATGTGGGTGAATAACGATTTCTCACACATTCAACAGGACAACTGCATCTTACCACATTCCTTTCTAATTACATGAAAATCTTACTAGTCACATGAGCACAGTGGAGGGACATCAGATGTCTCCTCTCCCCCACCCCATACCACACGCATTCACAGAACTGAACTGTCACGCTGTCCCACCCACTCCGTGGCCAAGAACCGACGCTCAGCCGCTCACCTGCTCTGAGTAGTCATTTCCGTCGACGTCATCGCTGTTGGAATGGCCTCCAGGACTCTGTACATCTATCCCATGACTCTCCAGGATTGCTGCTTCTTCGAAAAAAGCAAATGGATCCCTAAATTATCTGTTACATCATCATAATGGCCTAAGCACCAAATTAATTTTTATGTTGAGGAAATTAGAATGTCAGTAAACGAGAACCTAGATGGCTCTGCGTTTTCTTTTAAGCTGCAGCTGCACACAGGTCGGGAGGAGGGGGGCGGCATTTCCGCCATTCTGAAGCCCCTGTGGCTGGACATGTGGCTGACTGTTACACAGCCCTCCAGTCTTGGGGTTCTGTACAGCACTTGAGATTGGTAGTGATGAAGAGGGGTAAGTTTATAAGTGAGATACAATTTTAGAAGCTCAAAACCAATCCCCCGCCCCAATCACATCAATTCACATTTTTTAAAGGATCTCTTTTTCAAATCTCTGCCTTTTGCTATGTTCCCTGTCTACTAAGTTTCATTCCAATTCTAGTAATCAGATGTTTCTTAATACTGACGTCATAGCCCAGCGATAATAAAGAAGCTTAGGGTATCACGTCGCCTCCCTCGCGAGACCTTACAGGGATCTGTAGTATGCACCACAGGAGTAGTTGCTCAGAGACCATGTCTAATTCTAGATTCCAGAACAATTCTAAGAACAATGAGTGTTAGAAATAATAATGCCATTATTATTATAACACAAATAGTTTAATAATACTAACTTTTGGTTATTAAAAATACAACAAAGAAAAATACAAGTGCAATTCTTACTGGGCTTTAACATTTAGGATAATTTAGGCCTGCAGTTCCGGACTGAAGTCACTCTTAAGCACAGGCTCGTAACTGTGAAAGGAGAAAGCAGCCTTTCTGATACATTACCGATATTGGCTCTTCTCTTGATCTCCTTCCGTCTGTTAGCAAACCAATTATATACTTTCAGGGAGGTAACTCGTTCCAGATCTGACAGTTTTTTGCCTGTGAATGCATGCGATAAAATTCAGATAATCTGTATCTGAGACTAATTTTAAGGGATAATACTTTTTAAGAGTTCTTTTGATTGCATTTCTTACTGGAATAACAGATACAGGGGGAATTTTTTTTTTTTATTACCTTGTACTATGTTCACACTCAAGTTATTACTGAATAAACAGAACTACACAAATAGCAACTAGTCACATACAATGCTTCAATTTAGAAAGCCACACAATATTAAAAGAATTCCAATATTAAATACAATATTAAAGAATTCCAAAAAGTCAGTCTGCTAGGGTTTGAAGTTCACATGGCAGTACATGGAGGCTTCATTTAATAAGCATCATTCTAGATGAATATGTTATTCTTTATCAAGTTTCCAGATAGCTACAGTTTACTTACATCTTTAAGACTTTGTTGTCTTAAGACAGGATGTTACTCAGGTTTTCTTGGAGACTAAGGGTCACTGTGACCATCCATTACTGTAACTATGCTGGAACACAGCACAGTTCAGGTTGCATGTTAGATTTATTATCTTCTTTGCTGTCACATGGGACTTCTTAGGAACAGCACCAAGCCTGCCAACAAGGGCCCACCTGAACGGTCCCCTCTTCTCCTGGCCTTTTCTGTTTCAACTTTGACTCCACAGTGCGTGGAGAAACTGGAAAATAGGTGAGGGCCTTAATGATTTAGGGGTAAAGTGTTTTGCAGGAAGAGTTTGGGTTCCTGTAGCCTTAGGGCTGGCACTCTGGCGTGTGTGAAATAAGGGTTTAGATGTCGTTGGAGCTGAGTTTGTAGGGTCTCGATAGCTAGCAGTCTGGCTTTTAGCTAAGGGATAATAAATTATAATTTAATTACTATAAAGCATTGATACATTCGTTTATAGCCTTTAAGCCAATCAAATTAACCGGCTAAATGAAGATCGATTGGATCATCTTAACTGAAAATGGTTTCTGGTAACAAGACCGTAAAATGTGGAATATCTCAGCACATGGAAGAGGAGGCATGAGTGTTTCCGTGGCTCTGCGGGCTTGCATAGGGCCAGTAGGACTTCAGAATTGAATTACCCTAAGTCCTTCCTAGCTAAGCAGAAGTCATCCCAGTATGGAGAGGAGACAAAAGCCAGCCCCAAAAAGAGTTCTTTCTTCAAACAGCAATACAGAATTATACAATTTACAATTATTTTTAAAAAATTAATCTTTTCATTACCAAACCCTGCTTAAATATTCCAAACTAAAATTATTTTCTAATTGACGTATTGATGCTTTCTTTTCGGAAAAAGAAATCTATACAGTCTTTAAAAAAACAAATGAAAGGTCTCATCTCTTAAGCAGGGACACCCCCTGGAAACCTTCCCATGAGAACATTTGATTTGGGGTAGCATAATCACATCCCCAAGTCGTATGGTTTGAACAGGGCAAGGCAGTGATTATCCACACGAGGATGGCCCAGATGGCGCTGACAGCACCCAGCTGGGACGAGTAAGGGGAGACTTAGTGTCCTAAATGATGACCTGAAGCTGAGAGCGTCACCACAGAGCAAAGTGGTGCTTACCTGGCTTCTGTATAACTGCATTGCAAGCATTTGCAATTTCTTCTCTCTTTGCTTCATCTGGGTATTGATTCTCATTGAAGTAACTGCAGAGGCAACCGATGAAAACACAGAGTTTGTACTTTTTAAAATGTGCTCTCATTACAACACCAGCCCACTGAAAAGTACGTCTTCTTTAGCATGTAACATTGCAGTGTCTAGACCAGGCTCTCCAGTGGACTTCTCTGTGAGGATGGAAGTGGCCCGTTCTGTACTGTCCAATACGGTACCCACTACTCACATGTGGTTGCTGAGCGCTTGAAATGAGGCTGATGTGGCTGAGGAAGTGAATTTTTAATTTTATTTCATTTCAGCAAATTCAAATTGAAATAGCTAAATGAGGCAAGGGGCTACTAGATTGGATAGCAGAGGCCTAGCTACTGCTGTGCTTCATTTAAAAATGTCCTTGATACAAAAGTTACTTGTAATATGTACGGCTGGCTGAAGTCAGAGAGTTCTGTCATTGAGGCACTGGTAACAATAGGACTTCTTTTGTGTGTCATATTGTTTGTAGTAGCAAAAACTGGAAATTACCCAATTTTCCATCAGTGGGAGAATGGCAGAACAAATTATGGGATATCTATATTTATACACAGCTATTTAAAAATGACTAGAAAAAAAAAATAAGTTAGAGCTCTATCCATTGACCTGGAGAGATGTTTATGACATATTCCTAAGTGAGAAAAACAATCTGCAGAATAATGTGCAGGCAAAAAACACCATTATGGAATTTGAAGAATTCCTGTCAATGTGCACTTCAATTTGCATGGATAAAAGCTAGAAGAGTACACTCCAGGCTGTAAGTATTGATCACTTCATTGTGGGGGCAGGGGATTGGTGGGAGGAGGTGTAAACATTTCTTTCTTTTTGTCTTTTCCCTATGTTAAAAAAAAGCATATATTCTGTACAATAGCACTTAAAAGAAATTAGGTTTACTGAACCCGTCCTTAGCATTATCAGACCTGTGAGACGATATGTGGGTACAGAAAGATTATTAGTGTTACTTTTTCTGTCATCTTATGAGTTTAAAAAAAGAAAGAGAATTTCCATACTTTGAATCAGGAAACTTAAGATGAGGAAATGATCCCTTGCCAAAGTCTAGCACCTCCCACTACTTTAGGGGCTTCCCTCCCCTAGAATGCAGCTTTCCCCATTTCCTCACCCTGCTGTCTGCATTGGTGGAAATGCCACTCTACTGGGAAGAAACACCGGAGGCTCCAACTCTTCCTGTGAACCCCCAAGCCCGGCTTCTGACACCTCCATCCTCTTCCCCCACCTTCTCCCCGGAGAGCTTCCTTTGCTGCAGTTCCGACACAGCAGCTGCCAGCACGGAACAAACTCTCCTTTTCTAAAACCTAAGTCAGAGAACTTAGCATCCCAGTCTTGTCAACTGCTGTCCTCCACAAGGGTCTCCTGCTTATTCCATGATTTAACCATCTCTTCCCACGTGATTTTCTGCTGTCACTTTCAGGACTCCGGTGTTGATACTGACGACTTTTTTCAAGTCTCTGTCCCTATAGCTGCTCTGCTGCCACACTCCTAGTCACCTTTGTCTTTCCTCCCCTTCCACCATTTACTTGGGCGAAGACACCCTGGATTAGTTCCATGAACCAGAAGCACTGGCATCACCTGGGAGCTTGTTAGAAGGGCAGAATCTCAGACTAAGTCAGAATCTGAATTTTAACAGGATCTCCAGGTGATTCGAACACACACTAACATTTGAGAGGCACTGTGTTAGCTCATTCATTTCAAATTCAACAACAAAGACAACAAAAGCAGATATTAAAACCCCTAGTATTATGTGCTCGCACTGTGGTAAAGAAGAGAATTAGGTTCTGGCTTCAAGGAGTTCACAGTCTACTGGAGAGAGACATAAATCAATATACTTTGGTAAATTCCACAGGATGTCTGAACAGTACTGGGTCAGCAAACATGAAGACATGCCCAATGCTGGTCGCAGGAGCCTGAGAGGACTGGGCAGAGGAAGTGCCATCTGAGTTAGGTCTGGAAGATGGGCAGAGTTTACATGGCAGAGAAGAGCAGGAAGAGCATTTCAGGTAAGGGGAACAGCAAGTGCAAAGACAAAGCAGGTAACAGCTTTCACGATTCTGGGCAGACAGAGGCGTTCATTCAGTGTGGTTAGACTAGAGGGTTCACAAGACAAAGATGAAGACTTGTTTGCCTGGGAAAGTTGGATGGGGCTAGGCTCTGACGAGCCTGGTCTGCACTTTTAGTAATGACTTCACCCTGAAACGGAGATTTTCAAGCCACAAAGAGATGATGTTCCCATCTGTGTTGTAAAAGGACAACACATTTTCCGGACACAACCCTCAGAATTTTACCTCCATAAATTCTGAAATTCCCCAATCAACTTCCTGCTTACCTACTCCTCCTTTTCAAAATATTCTTCACCTTCTTTACAATCTCAAATCCCTTTAACAACCCCTACCCCATGTTAAAAGAAAAATCTGTTTATCTATTACTCTTCTGGCCTCACCTCTCATTTCTTAGTCATCACGCCAGGGTGAGTCAAATCAACAATATCCCTAAGAAGAAACTTATTTAGTTTTTCTGTCCCTCCACCATACCTATCCAGCCTATCTCCTACCCTGCAGAAAACACCTTCCATTCCTTTTCTTCCATCCTTCTCGCAGGGTCCCAAGTGTTCCTGGACAAAATCATTAAATAGAGCCAGGTGGTTTCTTTAAAAACCCACGTTTTTCAATCTTAACTGGGCTCCTCATTTTAGTCCTTTATTTTGTTAAAAATATTAAAAAAAAAATTTCAGGTACAGTTGACATACACTATATTACTTTCAGGTGTACAACACAGTGATTAGACATCTATATAACGAAGTAATCTAGTACCCAACTGACAACATAAACAGTTGTTACAATACTATTGACTATATTTCCTATGTCGTACTTTACATCCCCGTGATTATTTTTATAACTGGCTATTTGTACTTCTTGCCCTTCATCTTTTTTACCCATTCCCCAACCCCCCTCCCATCTGGCAATCATCAGTTTGTTGTCTGTATGAGTTTCTATTTTGTTTGTTCATTTATTTTGTTTTTTAGAGTCTACATATAAGTTAAATCATATGGTATTTGTCTTTGACTTTTTTCACTTGACATAATACTCTCTAGGTACATCCACATTGTTGCGAATGGCAAGATTTCATTCGTTTTTATGGCTGAATAATATTCCTTTGTATATATGTACCACATCTTTATGAATTTGCCTATCGATGGGAACTTAGGTTGCTTCAAAGTCTTGGCTATTGTAAATAATGCAGCAATGAACATAAAAGTATAATATCTTTTTTTTTTTTTAGATTTTTTTTATTGGGAAATTTTGGGAGGGAACAGTGTTGGGGAATTGGGGAGGGGGACCAGCCAAGTTGTTGTTCTTCAATCTTTGTTGTGGAGGGCGCCAGTTGCCATCTGGCTGCCCGTTGGCAGATCATGGCCTTTTTAAGCTCAAGGTGCTGTGTTCAATCTTAGCTGCAGGTGGGTGTAGCCACCATCCCATGCAGGAGTTGAACCCAGCAGCCTTGTTGTTAAGAGCGCATGCTCTATCCACTGAGCCATCTGGGCGGCAGCTCAGCTCAAGGTGCCGAGTTCAGTCTTAGTTGTGGGTGGGTGTAGCCCACCATCGAACAGGCAATCTTGTTGTTACCCCAGCTGAGCCATCCTGCCACCTGTTGGCAGCTCAGNCAATCTTGTTGTTACCCCAGCTGAGCCATCCTGCCACCTGTTGGCAGCTCAGCGGCAGCTCAGCTGGGGCGCAGCATCACTGGCCCATGTGGGAATCAAACCGGTGGCCCTGTTGCTCAGAGCTCACGCTCTTAAGCCAACACTTAACCAACTGAGCCGCTCAGCCAGCCCAAAAGTGTAATATCGTTTTGAATTAGTGTTATGGATTTCTTCTCAGAAGTGGAATTACTGGGTCATATGGTAGTTCTATTTTTAATTTTTTGAGGAACCTTTATATTATTTCCCCTGGTGGCTACTCCCATTTATTAATACATTCCCACCAACAGTGCACAAGAGTTCGCTTTTCTCCACATCCTCACCAACACTTGTTTGTTGATTTATTGATGATAGGCATTCTGACAGGAGTGAGGTGATATCTCATTGTGGTTTTATTTGCATTTCTCTGATGATTAGTGATGGTGAGCATCTTTTCATATATCTACTGGCCATCTGTATGTCTTCTTTGGAGAAATGTGTATCCAGGTCCTCTGTCCACTTTTTAATTGGATTCTTTTTTTGTTGTTGAGTTGTATGAGTTCCTTATATATTTTGGATATTAGCCCCTTAACAGATGTATCATTGGTGAATATCTTCTTCCATTCAGGAGGGTGTGTTTTCATTTTGTTGCTGTCCTTCGCTGTGTAAAAACTCTTTAGTTTGATGTAGTCGCATGTTTATTTTTTTTGGTTCCATCGCCTGAGAGGACATCCAAAAAAATTAACAGTGGTATCAAAGAGTTTACTACCCATGTTTTCTTCCAGGAGTTTTACGGTTTTGGGTCTTACATTTAAGTCTTTAATCCATTTTGAGTTAGATCCATGTGATCCAGTTTCATTCTTTAGCATGTATCTGTCCAGTTTTCCCAGCACCATTTATTAGAGAGACTGCCTTTACCCCATTGTATATTCTTGGCTCCTCTGTCATAGATTGACCATATAGGAATGGTTTATTTCTGGACTCACTATTCTGTTCCATTGATCTGTGTGTCTGTTTTTATCCTAGTACCATGCTGTTTTGATTATTATAGCCTTGTAGTAGTTTGATATCAGGTAGCATGATACCTCCAACTTTGTTCTTTTTTCTCAAGATGACTTTGGCTATTCAGGGTCTTTTGTGGTTCCATATATATTTTAGGATTATTTGTTCTAGTTCTGTGAAAAATGCCACTGTATTTGATAGGGAGGATTGCTTTGGTTAGCATGGACATTTTATCAATACTGTCTTCTTATTCATGAGCACGGTATAGCCTTCCATTTATTTGTTCTTCAATTTCTTTCTTCAGTGTCTTAT